CAATTGCAAGGTAACTTCTTTCATCACTTTCATATTTGATTTTCTATCCATCCTGGTCTAGGCTTAGCTGCCTATCTGTTATGTTAGAATTTAGTGAGTGTGCTTCTTATTTTATTTTGCCTATTATTAATATGATTGTGGAACATTTTTCTCGTCTAACTTAATTCATATGTGATCATGAGAAGCGGATGGGTGCTGATGTTCGCATTTTGGATACAATTGGACAAAATAATACCGACCACTTTTTTGTTGTTACCCAGCATGTTGATCTTTGAAACAAGCTTCAGGAGGGAGGTTAGTGTGTTACTAGTACATCCTTAAATAGTTAAATCAATAACTGATTTCATGCTAGTGTTTTGATGAATATTAGTCATGGCAGTGAAATCAATTTTTACCGTACCAAAGGTATTTTTCCAGCTGTTGGGTGTGCTTTTTGGTGCAAGTGTTTGAGTGGGTAAAATCCTTCTAGTCCCTAATGTTCAGTTCTGAAATGATAGATAAATTCCATAATCCTTGTTTCTTAATTTTTGTAATCATTTGTGTTGTAATAGCACCTTTAAACATGCAATTTTATTTATCTCATTTTCCTCCCTCCAGGTGCCTGGTGTTCCTTTAGTATTTTCGACAAGACAAGCCCTTTTCCTTGAGCCGCCATCTGCATTTCAATATCAGTTTGTCAAAGTTTCTCAAGAAGAAAGTCTACATAGGACTGAAAAGGATCATAAGTTATTGAAGAAGATGACTAAAAGCCTTTTGGCGAATGAGGTTGTAGGAGAGTTGTCTAATGATGTTGAAGGTTTAGGATATCATGATTGTGGATAGCAGGTGCATAACACAAGAAAGTGTAATACTGGAAAGGAAATTGGTGTGAAGGATATAATTCAATTCAAGAGAAAAAAAGCTAAGGTGAAGTCATTTGTATCCCTTTAGACTCACTTAACTCTTGAGATGCAATATCCAAGTATGTTGTACTTTTTGAAAGAAAACTTAGCAGAACAGATCAGCCAATTCATAAGGACCGCTAATTAATTAAATTTTAAGGAAAAAAAGAGAAAAAAACCTAAGAAGAATAAAACATAACTAGTGATATGTTATCATTCCCATTGTGACTGCTTTATTTCAGGTGGTGTCCTTAATCGTCTCTTCTTCTTGAATTTGCAGGTTCCAAATCCACTTTCACTTAAGAAGAAAAGAAGCCATGAAAACCTGGATCCTGGGTCTGTTAAGGTCTGTCTTTCATACAATACCTCTGTGCTTGATTCCACTTCCCCTCCCTCTTAATTTTCTTTAAAAGATTCGTCTTGTGACTCTTGTGTTGTGCAGTGTGACTTGTTTATTTAGATGTGGAAATAATCTTGTGTAATAATCCTCAACCTGCTGGATTAAATAGATATATTCATAGGATGACAATGCTATCAAATCAGACTTTATATATATATATATAT